TGGTCATTTAATATTGTCTAGAATTTCCCATTTGTTCTGATTTTTAATATTTATTCTTCTATTCTTTTCAGTTGTTTGGACTAACCCGGAGGTTTTGTCTTCAAGGTCAGCGATGGTTTCTTCTGTGTGGTCTAATCTGCTGTTGATCCTTTTGAGGAAGGTTTTGATTCCCTGCATCATATTCTTTATCTCCAGAAGTTCTGTTTGTTTCTTTTCAGTATGTCTTCTCCTTATGAACTTCCTCCTTCAAGTCATGGAAGGAGTTTATCATCTTTTGAGTTTGTTGAAATTGTTTTCTCTTGCATCTCATTGAGTTTTGTTACAATGAATATTCTGAATTCTTTTTCTTACATTTTTGTGATCTCTTATGTTTTATCCATTGTTGGTAAGGAGTTATTTTGTTCCTTAGGAGGGGTAGATATTTCCTGTTTTTTTTTTTTTTTCCTGTTTCTTGGGACTGTGCTTTGATTTTTATCCATTTGGTGTTGTTCTCATTTCTTCATATTCTTTGAAGTATATTTCTGTTGCTGTGTACTCAATGTACTTCCCTACTGTGCGAGTTGGCTCTGGGCAAGTTCCCCTCATCCAAGGGTGGGAGTGTAGAATTCACAGTAGGAGTTTTGGGTTCATGTTTTGAGAGAGATATTTTTCTCCTTTTACTGCTAGGGAATTTGTTGAGAAAGAATTTCTCCATAGTCTCTTATCTTCAGGGGTTTGGTTCCTGTGTACCCAAACCTTTCCGCTCCCTATGTGACAAGAGGTTGAGCTGAATAGGAAGGATGTAAGGTGGTAGACCACTTCAGCTCCTCCTCCCACAGCAAGGCTGGTCTGGAATCCCTATCAGTGGGCTCAGGCTGAGTGACCTGGGACTCTATTGCTCTTGGATGGTTGAGGGTCAGAACAGTGTCAGCATGCATGGAGTAGCAGCTCCTACCTTTTATCTCTGGGCCCACAGGAACCAAGTAGTGACCCTTGAAGTTTGGAGCAGTCCCTCCTCCCCACAGCAGGCTCAGGAGTTCAGGCTGCCCTGATGAGCAGGGCAGCCTACTGATAAGCTCAGGCCAAGCAGCCTAGGCCTCCTTGTTACTCCTGAATAGAGAAGGGGCAGAATGGTACCAGTGCATGTGGGGTATCAGCCCCTTCCTTCTTGCTCTCTTCCATATAAATTTTATATAGTGCTTTTCAATTTCTGCAAAAAAAAAAAAAAAAAAACAACAAAAAAAAAACATACTGGGATTTGGGCAGCAATTATATTGAACCTATCTAAAGAGTATTTTTTTTAAATGTACATAATGAATTTCTTAATAAAATTGGG